ATGGCGGCGGAGGGAGGGGTGAGGGGTTCCGCGTTTTTTGGTCAGCTCGCTGCCCAGTGTTTGATGGCGTTCAGGCCTGTTTTCTCCTCACACTGAGCTAAATAATCAGCATACCCGTTGTCCTCCAGGCGTGCCGAAAAAGCGCTAGGGGTTGTACCCGGCCGCGGGCGAAGGGGTCGTCCGGCTTTGGCAGAGCCCGGCGTTTTTGTGGTTAGAAGTTCCCGCTGGGGCTCTATACTTACACAAGCAAAGGTAGCCGACCAGCCAGCAAACGTGTTTCGGGAAATGTCTTTTCCTTTCTTCTTCATAGTGCAAATATGACGTGCTCTTGGTTATCCCGGGAAAAGTAATCTTGTATGTGCCCAGTTTGTTGTTTCAAATTATCTGCTTTATATTATTGGATAAACCATTCATATGAGGGGCCTGTTATATAATATTACACCCCATCAATGTTAAAAAAAGAAAAAAATCTTGTTCTCATGAGAATTCCACCCAGCAAATAACAAACTTGGCGCTAGAAATCTTATGTGGTGACCACAGACGTTTCTTTTTTTACATTCTGAAGATATGGTCACGTTGCCCTTCTCACCCAAGCGGAGAAAATGTGCAAGGTTTGCAGGACAAGCTTTTCCTGAAAGATCAGACTAAACAAAGAAAACTGCACGTTATCCCTCTCGAACGTTTTGTTTGGAAGATGGTGCTTCAAAAGGATCACCCTGAAATTTCACCGGCAGGAGATATTCAGAGATAAGAACTTGAATAATGGAAGTGGTAGATGTGCAATGAATAATTGATGCCATTCTAAAGATGTCAGCGTGAGGCAGAACATGACAACTCTGTAGCATTATGGAGAGGACAAAATACGAAAGCCAAAAACTGAGCATGAGCAGAATGCGAGCACTGTTACAATAAATGAATTCCTATGGCTGTACCTCAGAAAAAGAGACGTATTACACCAAAGCCAGACAAAAGTGAATACAGTATAGCAATTCACACCTGCAACTCCCTCTCCCCCCAAATGACTGGAAACAATAGTAAGGATAGCAGTCTACTTAATGGAGACCTTTAATAACAAGATTAGGAGAGAACAATCTGGAATCTGAAGAAAACTCAAAGCAGTAGCTGATACTGGAGTACCAATCTGAACAGATTTCCAAGCATAAAAGTCCAAGCATCATATCCCTTAAAAAAAAGTAACAGTATTATGATAAAAGTGAGCCAATATTCTCAGTAGATGCTTAATAAGGAGTCAGTATTTATACTAATAAGGGAGGTCAGTATTTCAGTAGGCTGTAGTAGTATATAAAAACAGTGTGTAATGCCAACACTACAAAAGGACGTGCTCAAAGAGAAATCATTTTTCACTGTCCGTCTGTGTTAGAGAAGTCATCATACAGATGCCTGACCAGTAATTCCTGAAAGAGACCATGAACCATGACAGAACATTCTTGATGATCATAACGCCTAAAAGTGTAATTTAGAGATTAACTATAAGCCTGGGAGAAGAAAGTACGTTAACACATCTTCCCTTGTGCAATTTCAGAAGCAAACGAGATGCAGAAGACGAGAAAGACTTAAAAGAACAAATGATATGACGTGCCAACGTCATTTTTTAGAAGTAATCTGAGAAATAGCAAGCCGACACAGCTGTAATACAGTAAGTCTTTCAAAAGGATCAATAAAAATTTGGCAGACTGGGACCAGAAACAAGTTTCTTCAGCAGCCTTGAGTTTTGGAGTGGAAGCTGGGTTGATTGCAAAGACTACGCTAATGTTCAAAGTGGTCAAAGGAGGGAAAGCCAAGGAATTTTCTCCAACACGGTTACTGCTGGTAATACAGTAACAGCAGAGGGCATCAGTTAGCAAGGAATGACTTTTTAAGACACTCGTTGCTTCTAACAGGGATGGTGACCTGAATATGGTGACAGATGTGGATTTAGTTAAATCTGTAGGTTCTGTTTATTAACTGGGAAACCTACTCAAATGTAACTGTGGTGTGGTGAGAAATCCAGATTAGGTGTGAAAACACACAGGTACTGGGAAGGACCCCGCTAATTACCTGTGAGCTAGCATTCTTGGCAACACACCTTAGTTACTAATCTCTGTTCCAAAAAAAACCCCATCCATATCAATCAGTTTCCTGACACAGGAGAATAAGCAATATATCGGACTGTTATGTTACTTCCACAGTCCTGTATGAAAATACGGGAGGCGGTGAGACAGGACGATAACACAGAGTTACTATCCTCGGGGCTTCTTCTTGTGAGGGATCTCTCAGGCCTTACACCTTGTTTTTATCCATTCCCCTGTATGTGCATTGCTATCAGAAACGCAGCTGTGTTATTAAATTGGAGTGATGACCGAGCTAAATGGGATAGTAATGTACATCTCTGCTAGCAGGCATAGCATAGGGTTATTGTTTACATGGCCACATCTTTTGGAAGTTCCAAGATTTCCCATTTTGGGTGGCATTTGTAAGAGATGACTTTAGGGAAATTCCTTGTCCTGGGCTCTTTTTGCAATACATGGAAACAGAAAGGCTCCTACAGAATGCAGTTCAGCCCAAGAACTTAAGTACTGTAAATGTGCTCTTGGAGAAGCTTATGGACTTTAAA